TGTGAACAAGCCCAGTCCTTTGTGATGAACCGTGAACTTTTCCCCTGGAAACTCCTGTTAGGCTGTTGTTCCCACCAGCAGTTCACAGTCGTCCCCGTTTCCTCACAGGCTCGATGGCAATGAGGTAGGAGTCTTTCCCATTTGCCGGTTACTGAACTATAAAGGGGCGTCTCGCTGTTAGCGGACTTCAGCCTGGGTCTCGGGTTACTCGTGGGGCTTTCTTCACTGGCCTTGTAAACGTGCTCTGGAAGTGCCCGCCGCCGTCTTACTGGTCCCCGAGACTCTCGCACAGCGAGGATGCCGTCCTGGTCCGCACTTGGGAGCATTGGGAAAATAGAGTGACCTCCGTCTCCGAATGGCACGGGCGCCTGTGGAGGGCGGCCCCCGGCCCCTTTCTGATCATCCCTGCGGGGAGTTCTTCAGAGTGAAAGCAGGGTTGTTATCCTAGGAAAACCAAAGGCAGATACGTAAGAGAGACGAGCATCGATCCTAAAGAAAGAACCCACCTGCGACCAGCATATGGAATTCACTTTCTGTTTTGTCCAGTCCATGAAGACACTCAGGGCTGTAAGACAGAACCTACACGTTTTCTAAAAGGACGCACGGATGATTTAGTCAGAAGTTTCCGGGAGCACCTGCCACATGCCTTGCGTCACCCTCGGTGTCACGAGGGGTCCCCTACGTCCACGGCTGGTGGGCGGCCGGGGGAAGAGACGGGCTGCTCGTGTCCGCCACGGCGTCTCAGCGCCTGCGCTACGCCGGCGGTTCCCGTCTTCGGGGCGCATCTGTGCCCTGCGTCGTCTTTCCCGTCTGTAAGTGGCACGTCCTCCTCGGCCACCGAACCCTGACGTCGCCCTCCTTCCCTGCCTTTCTTCTGGCGCCTGAGCCCACAGCACGGCAGGAGGATTTCCGCTGCACGCATCTCTGGGACGACCTAAATGGAGCAAAACTACAATGTAAAAAGTGGACCCATTTTCCTCGCGGATGAGAATGACCTCGAGAACCCCGGGGTGTCCCTGCGGCCACGGCGTGCCAAGGGCGTGCAGGCGCGCCCGGGGTTGGAACCACGTCGGTGTTTCCGGCCTTTGCGCTCGCTGCGTCTGCAGACAGAATCCTCCTCTGCAAACGAGGCGCAGTGGGGGCGGGGGCCCTCTCCACAGCCCCAGCCCCCACAGGTCCCCACGCTCCGTTGGCCTGACCATCTGCAGACACCAAGTGGCGTTGGGCTGCGAGGCAGCGAACTCGCTGGTGACATGGCAATTAGGCTCTGAAATAGGCTTGGTGCGTCACGGCAGATGAGGGTTTTGAAAGTTTCTGTTGTGATTATGGCCCGTGCCTCCCACAAATAACAGGCTTCAAAATAAGAGGCTGCCAGCGGAGCTTTTGTGGCTCTGTCTCGGTGACGACCGTAAAGTGCTATTAACGTCCTCGGCGAACTTGAATACGCCAGTCCCTCGGATGTGGAGTTGGCTCGTGACGCTCCCCGCGGGCCTGACTCTCGGGGGTAACCGCCGTCTCCTGGACGGTCAGGCGAGCGGCAGCAGGCAGCCCCACGGTGTCCGCCCAACGGGCCTGTGTTCCTGCAGGCCAGGTCACGCGCGGGTGTGTGTGCATCTCGGCCTGCGCCCGAGCAGCTGGAACCTTGCAGCAAAGCCGAGTCGGAGGTCATCAAAGGAAGATCAAGAACGTAGGGCTGCGTGGGGTCAGCCAGGCAGGCCCTTCCCACAGAGAGCGGGGAGGGCCTCGCAGGCCCGGGGGCGGCTGTGGGAGCGGCTGCGGGAGTGAGCAAGCTGCCCACTGCGTGTGTGTGAGCGTGTGTGAGCATGTGGGGTGCACGCACACGGCGCTTAGGTGCCGTGTGTTCTGAATGTGTGTTCACTCTCTGAGAACGCGATTGGGAGCTGTGTGGTTTTGCACACAACTGTGTAGATGTGTAAGTGGGTGTGTTTTGGGTTTCATGGGTCTGAGTGCAGAGGACATTTACTTGGATTAAATAGTTCTCTGCGCTGAGACACTGCTATTTAGCTCAAGCAGGCTGAGCATGTTTCCTTTCCCTCTAAAAAGTTAAATATCTGCAGTTCTAACTTCTGCGTGCACATTGAACTGGCAGAGCCCCTGGGCTTGTGGGATGTGGAACGTCATGCGTAAGAGCCACTCTAGCACCTTGACCCGAAATGGGCAGGCGCGCACCCCCCACCCGCCCCGGGCCTGGCAGCCTCGTGGCCGCACCGAGGCGGACGCTGGCGCGCGCTGGTCCCAGCCCTGAGGGGTGGGGGCACGGAGCCTCCACGGCCCTTGGGGACCTTGTCCTGCGTGTGGTGGGGCCCCCGCTGTGCGGAGCTGGCGGCTTGGGGACTCCCAGGGTCTCTGCTGTGCTCTTGGCGCCCCTGGAGACCACTCCGCGCTGCAGGGGTGCTGGGCAGTGGGGCTGCGGCAGGAAGGGCCCGATGTTTCTCCAGCCTCTTTCCCTAAGAACAGAACCGAGCGACACAGGTACTAATCGCAGCCACCGGCTCGGGACAAGCGATGAAGCACCACATCTCCTTGGTGGCTGCTTGGCGGGAGGGAGGCCGGCCCCTGGCGCGACCCGTGCCCCCGCCGACGCCCCCCGGGGGCGCACAGCACGGTGCAGGCGGTCCATGTGGGTGGTGGGGGCGCCCAGCTGAGACCGCAGGCCTCCGCCTCCCGGGCTCCAAGTGCTCCCGTGCGTCTTCCCCGGCCCCGACCCGAACCCCGACCCGAACCCTGACCCTCCGAGTCGGCGGTCGTCTTCTGGGCCTGCCAGGCACCGTGGGGGGCGGCTGGGGTCAGGGATGCGTCCCCCACCGTGCCCGCGGGCTGGTGGGGGACGCAGACATGGGCGAGGACCCGCCGGGGGCAGCCGCGGGCCCGTCAGGCTCGGGTGGAGCTGTCGCTGGGGGCACCTGGGACGGGGGCGCTCACCCTCAGGACAGAAAACAGCCAGGCGTGGGGGCGTGCGATGGGGCGAGTGGCCTCCTCCGGGGACGGGGGACGGGGGACAGGGCCCCTCCGCTATGCGAACTCCGGAGTCACAGGGGTGGCTGACGCAGGAAGCAAGGTCAGGGACATCGTGGGCCTGACGGGACATGGGACCTCATCTTGAAGCCACCGGAGACCTGAGCAGGTGGGACGTAAGCTGAATCCCGTTTCTGAAAGACCTCGGCCAGAGCTGCGACGCGGGGGTGGGCGGGGGGCAGGCTGTGCTCAGTCTCTTCCCGGCCGGGGACTTTCCCGGGAGGCCCACGTCTGCGGCCTGAGGGGGACGTGCCCGGGACGGCGCCTGCACGTCAGGAAGACCGGGCGCCCGGCCTCGAGGGGAGAGGGCGGCTCGGGGCACTGCCCTGGGGGAGGGGGCGCCTCCCGGGCCTCTGGCCTCCGCCCGCCAGCCCCACCGGCCCGGGCACATCCCCCAAGCCGCGGCGGGCCAACCCCTCCACGCTGCCATCAGCGGCCCCGTGCACCTCGGCTGGTTCTGGGCTGCAGGTGAGAGTCTCTTCGCGCCAGGTGATGAATCCTCTGCATCAGCCCTGAGCCCAGAGGAAGGCGTGGAGTCGGTGCCGGCTCAGGGCGGGTGGCACCGCTGCGCTTTCCTGCCGCCCCGAGAGCCGAGGGGCCCCCCGCGCCCGGCCCCGCCCTGGCGCCCTCCCCGCCCTGCTGCAGGCCGGCTGGCCCACGCAGGCGTCCGGCAGAACCTGCTGCCCCTCCGCCGTCGGTCACGTGCCAGGTTCCTCAGGGCAGGACAGAGTCGTCGCAGTACTGGAACCTTTCATTCCCAAATACCTGGAACCTGTGTTTTGAAAGCCCAGGTTTTCTGACCCAGGAAGCTGCGGCCTTGTGGTTGTCAGCGAGGGGCCGGGCAGAGCCAGCACCCACCTCCGGGTGTATTCAGGGGTAACAGGCCACATTTGGTTCCCCTTTCCCTGCCCCCGGGCTCCAGGCCCCCAGGCTCCCAGGCTCCCGGGTGGTTCCGGCATCTGTGTTCTGACAGGGACTGTGTCTTTTACGGAGGGGCTTTGCCTTGGGCGTTTACGGCGGGGGGTGCAGGAGGAAACGAAACGCTGGATGGGGAGACCATCTCAGGTGCAGTTTCCCACAGACGCCCCCCCAGAGGTGGGGGAGGGAGGGATGGCCCCCTTGAGAGGTGGCAGGAAGTACAAGTGGTCAGCGCTTCCCCGGGACAGCAGCCCGGACGCCTGGCTAGAGTCCCAGGACGCTGCGGGGCACTACCCGGCCGAGGGTGGGAGGCTGGGCGGGCTCGAGCCGCGTGGGCCCCTGGCGGAGTCCTGGGGTGTGAGTGTCCCCAGAGGGAGGAGAGCCCCCCAGGCCCTCCTCAGTCGGCTCCAGCGGTGGGACCCCCTGCGGAGGGGCTCGCCACACCGGTGCCGGCAGGGCAGCTCTGCTGTTGGAGCACCCGGGTGCAGGGGGCTAGGAGAGTGGCCCCCGCGGGGGCCGGCCCAAGGTCCAGGCCCCGTCGCCATGGGCCCCGGGCCACCTCCGGGCGCGCCAACAAGGAGGGCCCCGCCCGCAGCGTGGGCTCTGCCTGCCCTCCGGCGGGCCCACTCACGCTGTGTGTCACCCCCAAGCACGTGAACGGGTCCCGTCCTCCCTCACGTGCCAGGCACACGGAGCGGGTGCCCAGGGCCCCATGACCCAGGGGGCACCTGAGCTGGGAAGGGCCTGAGGGAGCAGCTGGGGGTCTTTAGTTTTTCTCAAGGGAAACCCAAGGCCCGAGGGGTGCGCGGGCCTGGCTAGAGCCCTCAGCTCGTCGCTGCCAGAGCCGGCGCCAGGCCGCCGTGACCCCGCCAGAGAACCGGTGGCCCCCGGGGGGCGGGCACCGGGCCGGGTTGCACGGAGCCGGACGCGTGACCCACCGCAGCAGGAGCCGCGGTCAGGAGCCCCGGGGACAGGCCCGCACACGCCCCCTGCTGCCACGCGCCCCCCCCCTCCGAGCTCTGACGTCTCGCCCTCCTTCCTTCCAGGCTAACGGAGGCTGGCAGGATGCGACCACCCCCTCCTCAGTGACGTCCCCCACAGAAGGCCCCGGCAGCGTTCACTCCGACACCTCCAACTGACCTCCCCGCACGCGCGCCCCGGCCGCGCCCGCGCCCAGCCGGCAGGGCCGGAGGGGGGCTCCTCCCACGCTGGAGCGGTCGGACTGGAGGTCGGAGCGACCAGCAGGCACGCGTCTCCGCCCCTCTCTCCGGGGGATGCTGCTTCAGCCAATCTGGACACTTCTTTATACTCCGTCCCCTTTTTTCTGGGCAGAAGCCACCCTCCCCGCCTCCAGCTGCCAGCCTGGCACCCGCCACCTCCCTGCCCTCACCCCTGCCCGCCACGCCGGCCCTGCCCTCTACACGTCACTGAAGGGTATTTTCAACAATTAGAGGAATTTAAAGAGGAAAAAAACGCAAAGAAAATAATAAAAGTGTTTGTACGTTTTCACGCTGGTGGTTTGAGGAGCCACGTTTACCTCATCGAGCCCTCTGTCCCAGGCAGCCCCCTCTGTCTCTCGTCACTGTCACTACCTCTCGCAGGAACTCGCCACACTGCCCTGCCCCTCGGGCCTCCCGCCCCCGGCACCGCCCTCCGGGGACCCCTCTGGTCTGCAGGCTCCCCTGCTCCCCTCCCAGCCCCCTCTTCCCTGGGGACGGCCACCGCCGGCTCCTGAAGGTGCCTGTTTCCCGGGTGCGGCTCCAGCGGCTGGAGTCCAGGCAGGAGGTGAGCGGCAGGAGAGGGCGCGACAAGACGGGCGGCATCCCCGGCCCTCCCGGCGTCCCAGGAGCGGCTCCCGTCCCGGAGGCGCAGCCGTCGGAGGCCCGCAGCTACCGGGGCCCGTGCGGGCCGGCGCGGCGATGGACGGACACACGGGGAGGAGGAGAGGGCCCGCCCACCGGAGCCCTGCCGCTGTCCCCGCACACACGTGCAGACGCCCACACTAGTGACCGTGGCACCATGCCTTGCTGGCCCGAGAGGGACCTGGCCACTCCAAGGGCAGGTCACAGACAGACACGCATGTGCCAGCGCATCAGGCCCGCGGCCCCAGCACGTACACGCCACACCAACGTCACCCCCAGACAGGCCAGGTTTCCGGTGTCCCCTGTCCTCGCCAGCACCCTCGCAGCTGCAGGGAACCAGGCACGTGGCTGACGGCATCTGCCACGGGTTCGGTTCTGTTCCGCGGGGGACGCGCGGCGCGGTTCACCCACGGCTCTGTGCCGCGGCGTCTTGTTCCGGAGGAGACAGTTGTGTGAGAGCCTGGCAGGGCACCCAGTTCGCTAGCTCCCCGGAGGACCTGCGAGCCGCAGGGACGGGGCGGGGCGTCCGCAGGGAGGCGCCCGGGGTGCGCTGCGTGCTCCGGGACTGTCCAGGGGCACCGGGTGCCTGCCGGAAAGCCGCTCTCCGGTGTCACCGGAGCGTGCGTTCTTCGCAGCCGGCTGTGCCAGCAGCGGAGGTGGCGACTCTGCCCTCGTGGGGAGGAGGTGGTCCAGCCTTCTCGCGTGCGTGACAGAACGAAGGGGTCTTCTCCGTAGCCAGTCTGCATGCGGGGGGCCGGGGCGCAGCGGGTCCCTGTTCTGGCTTCAGTTCCCGTCCACACCCAACACCGTTGCCACAGGGGCAGAGAGAGGGGTCGTCGTCGTTGCTCTGTTGTTGGTTTGCTTTGGTCTGTTTGGGTTCGTAGGCTAGACGTCAGCTCCCCAAGGAGAAATCTCGGGCCTGGCTCTCGGTTTGTGCTTCAGTCCCTCGCGTGGCCTTGTGAGTGCCGAGTGCCTGTCATGTGGACCCTGCCTGAGAGGCCCCTTACAGGGCCACGGACATTCCGCGTGGACGGCGGGCAGGAGCGAAAACGCTCCCGCGCGTGAGGGGGGTGCAGTTGGAGGAAATAGGAACGGTTGACCTCCGGCAAGGCTCCTGGGCTCCGCCGCGGCGGGTCAGCACCGTCGGCAGCCCGGGCCTCTCGCGGGCGCCGGAACCGGAACAGGGCCCCCGTTGGGTTGGTGAGGGGCTGTCGCTGGACAGCCCGTGGTGACAGGGACGCCGCGCCCCCCGCCCAGGCGCGCTGCGCCTCGCAGCCGCCTGCCCTTATGCGCAGGGCTCTCCTAGAGGATCCAGTTTGGGGTGAGGGGTTGCTGTTCCGGGTCAGTGGAAAGATCGGCAGAGCCCCGTTGCAGCAGCAGGTCTGTGCCCGGCAGTAGCTGCACGGATCGTCATTGTCACACGCGGCCTCTGTGTGCCTTCGCCACCTGTCCTTCCATGGCCACACTGACATCCAGCGTGGTGGCCGCGAGGTCTCTTGAGTTCAGCAAAACGGGAGAGCAGAGTCCACCAAAGGTGGGGCGGGCAGAGCCGGCCTGGGGCAGCTCCGCCCCTGGGCGCCCCTGCCAGGTCCCTCCCGCCGACCCAGACGCGACCCGGGCACCAGGGTCTTGTTTTCCAATGGCCGCGGGACTGTGGCACTTTCTGGCCACACTGTCCCCTCGGGCCGGCCCGCCCGTAACCCTCCCCCCCCCGGCCCCCCGCCGTCCCAGCTCCCCGCGCGGGGCGGACGCCCACAGCGCGTCCGCCCGCGGCCCCTTCTTGACAGTTTTTGTTCGCTCTGCTGGTGGGTGTTTGGCCAGTTGCCTTTGCGCCATGTCCCCGTCCCCCCCCCCCTTTCCCTTCTGAGTTTTATTTTTCTGCCCAGAAAAACCTGACTTCGATACCAAAAAAAGATAAAACTACAGAAACTCAAATTTAAAAGAAAAAACTTTTAAAAAAAAACAAAAAAAAAAATACTCAACGATCCTCTCAGCTTTATTAGCATCTCCCATTGCTTCTCGCGACGCGTCTCTCGTTCTTTGTAGTACTGACGGCGAACATTTGATGACGAATGTTCTTGTATATTCAGATAAAGGAAAAAACCAAAAAGGCGGTCTGAATTTAATAGTGTTTATAATAAAAGTTTTAAAAACGACCCTCATAGCACGCAAAACAGGACGGGACCCCTCCGCCCCGGACCACGCCCCTCCCCCCACGTCCGTTGCGCCCCGCGCGCCCGCGTCCGCCATCCGCCCCCATTTTTCTTTTCTTTTCCTGCATTTGTGAATTAGTTCAAGAATGCTAGACAAGTGTCGAGTTGTGCACACCCATTTCCTGATTTCCTGTCTCACAATGTTTAAAAGTGACAGTAATTCATTTTGTAAACTAAAAAAAGAAAAAAAAAGAAAAAAAGAAAAAAAACTGGGATAGTGAGCATTCATAGAGGTACAACCTAACACGTTATTATGTTTCTTAACTCTGAGACCCAGAAGTAAATTCTTTTCTTTCCTTTATTCCTGCTCTTGAAAATATAACAAAAAAACGATGTTTTGTTTTGTGTTATTTTTGGTTTGTTTATGGGGGGGCTTTTTTTAATTGTCAGGATTATGATCTTGCTGTTTTTAGTCCTCGCGTGTGTATACAAGGTCATGTGAAAAGGCGGCGGCGGCTGCTTGTCCCAGAGCAGAGGTCGACGCCCCGCGGCCCGGCCAGGCGGTGCCCGTGGCTCCGAGAACCGCGGCAGGAGCTCGGGCTCCCTGCGGCCTTTCCAGAACTCACCGGCCCGGGAGCCTTTTATCATGGGGGGAAGGGTTCTGGCCTGGTCGATGGGGAAGCCATGGCGAAATGCTTTCTTTTCTTCCATCCTGATGAATAACAACATTCCGGCCAGAGCGGGCTCTTCATGCAGAAGAATTCCCGCGGCAGCACAGGCAGCGGTGGGAGGGGCGGGGGGATCCTGATGTTGGGCAAGGGGCCAGGAAGGAGCAGGGGGCGCGAGTGCCGCTGTTATTCCCAGGCTGGCATTTCGGCAGCCACGCTGGGCTCGGAATGTTCTTAGGAGTCACGGGAGAGAAGAAGGCAGCGGGACCACGGAGGCAGTTCCCTGGGAACGCCCTTCGCCTGACGCTTGTCGGCTGAGTGTTCGGAAAGCAGCCAGAGCCTCCGCGAGAAACGGGGCCGCCGGGCCGCGCCCCTGGGGGGCCCCTCTGCCCCGGCGCCGCCGCCTGGCTCTGGAGGCCACGCAGCCAGGGCCGGGCTTCACACATCGCCTCCGCTGCGTCACTCCCTAGCTCCCAGCTCTCTCTGGACTCTTCTGTTTTGTAACCTTTTTTTCCCTTTTGTTAAAAGAAATAAGACATTCGATGTTTTCCCCTTTCTCTCGCATATCCCTCTTTGTTTTCCTTTGGCATTTCCAGTTATTTTGAAGTGTGTTCCTTCGGTTGCTGGTTCTGTTCCCCTGCTCGCCGCCCCTGCGAAGCTCTGCGCTGTTTCGGTTTTGAAAGTAGAAGCTTCTCCGCTCCTGTGAGAGCACAGGCTTCCGTCCCCTTTTTGTTCCGACCGAGGTTTGTGTTCTCTGACGATACTAACACGGTGTAGGTTTTACAGTCTCCTAATTTGTACTGGTAATGCATATTCCAAATAAATAGTTTCTTTTGTTGCAAAAAACACGCTTGTACGTTGTGTGAATTTTTTTCCCTGGCCGTCCCCCAACCTGGGGCCGGGGTCCTGTGGATTACGGTCTCACAGCCACCCGGGCCAATCTGAAGTCCAGGCTCCGTGGCCACAGGGCACGTGGCCTCAGGGGCCACCAGCCTCAGGAAGGATGAGAGGGGAGGCGGGGGGCAGGAGAACCTTCTAAGGGCAAACAGCAGCTGCGCCGGGGGAAGGAGCGGCCCGGCCCGTCGGCTGGTCTCTGAGAGGCCGCCCGCCCCGAGCACCAGCGGGGGAAGCCCAGGGAGGGGCCCGTGACAGAGTCCAAGCCCGGGAGCCGGCTGTTCGCCCCGCAGAGCTGCTCCCCTTCGCCTGTGATCTGGTCCAAGGGAAGCTGTGGGCCCAAGAGATGTTTCCGGAGAAGGGACCCAGGTGAGCAGAGGGCCGCTCCCAGGAGCGGTGGGTGTCCGTGCGCCGGACCGCTCGCCTCCGTGTGTCGGGGCTCCTTCCCGCGGGAGCCCGCTCCGGGCGTGGCCCCGCTCACTGAACCCCCGGCCTCCATGCCCCGCCTGGCAGGCCCCCTCAGCCTCAGCGCCCCGTTCCCACGCCGGCAGGACGGGGAGCTTCCGCTCCGGCCCCCACCTGCTGTTCCGGTGGCGGGGGCTCACACCGCTGCCTTCTCGTTTCACGCGCGGCCCCCGGGGGCTCTGTCCGAACCCCGCTGAGGCAGGCGGCACGGACTGCCGGTCACTCACCCTCTGCCCGGATCGCGACTTGGTTCTGATCGATAGGAAACGGGGCACAGGCACGGCGCGTCCGTGGCGACCAGAGCGTTGGTTTCAGGCAGGGCCCAGCCCAGGGCTCCGTGACAAGGCCGTCTGCTCATGGCGGTTTGGAGAGCGTCGCCGGGGCAGAGCGCAGCCTCGCGGGCCCCCGCGCATCGGTAGGTGGGGACACGGGGGGCTCGTATGCGGGCGGCTCCAGGCCGCTGCCTCCCTCAGCGGCCTGGACCTTTGTGGACATGCCCACCCACCCAGCTTATTAGCCAGAGTGATAATTAGCAAAAGAGACCAAAAGGCACCGCGTGTCAACGGCAGAGCGAGTCTCAGGTCGCAGCCTGACTTGCTGCCGGCCCTGCTGCTGCGCCCCCAGGCGGTGGCTCAGGAACCCGCTGCTCCAGCTGCGGCTCCCCGCCCCCCAGGAATGCGTCGCCCTCCCCGTGGGGCCAGCGGGAGGAGCAGGCGTGGAGGCCCACCTGCCCGGGGCCGGGGTGGGGCACGGGCTCTGGCGAGACAGCCCCTGCCGGGCGCGAACAACTATTGGGCGCGTTGGCCATCGTCACACTTAGTGACCAAAAGAATGAGCAAGAGCAAAAGCCACATGGCTGTTCATTCGAGGGACACGCCCCCAGTACCGCCTGTCCCTGAGCATCGCGGACGGGGCTTCCTGCCTCGTCGGGGGCAAGTCCAGCAAGGAGCGTGGCCGTGGGGACACGGCTGCCCCTCCAGGGAGGGAAGCGGAATGTCCGCCTCTGTGGCAGGAAAGAAACACCGTCCCCCACCCCCTCATGCTCCAAATGTGGGTGCTGTCTGCACACGGGGCTCAGCTCCCCAGCCTGCGGTCACCAGGAGAGCGGAGCCGAGCCCGGGAAGGCAGCCCGGTCCCCGCGGCCAGCCCCGCCCATGGGCGTCTTGCTCACTAGAAGGGTCAAGACCGGTCGCTTGGGAGAGTAGAGTTGTAAAGGTTCAAACTCACGAAATCTGGTGTGGCTCCCTCTCTCCGACACCCTTGCCCCCACCCATCCCCCTGAAAGAAGAAGACAAGCAGCAACGACCCACGTTCCGGCCCCCCGTGGCCCCCAGAATATGCCGCCCTTCTGGGAACATCCGGCGTGGAGGGCGCCACAGGAGCTCGGTTCTTCCCAGGCTGCTCCGAGCGTGAGCCCTGGGCGGGGTGGGGGGTGTAGCCTGACGTCTCGGCAGCCGCCTGGAGTGGAGAACGGGGCCCTGTCCCTCCGGCTCCCGTAGAAGCTACGACAATACAGAGCAGGCAGCAGGGCCACCGGGCACTGGTGGGGAGACGCAGCCCGTGGCGTCTGGCCTTGGGCAGCCGGGAGGCCACTCCGGGCCGCGCAGGGTGGGGAGGAGAGCTGTAGAGGCCGTGGTGGTCACCAGGCCCAGGCCCCCATGTGGGGGGCGGCTGCCGTCTGTCAGCGGCGAGCCAGCCTTCACAGCACCTTCACCTCCAGTGGGACTGGCCCCGGGAGGGGTTTCCTATAAGACAGATGAAGAAACTGAGAAACAGCCCCGATCTCCAGGTCTCTCCTGACGACCCCGAGTGTGTCCCTCGGTCCACAAGCTGGGGCAAGAACGTGGGACTGGGAGGTCCGTTCACAAAGCCCCGGCCAGGGGCGGTGGAATCAGCGGGTGTGGGAGGAATGGAGCCGCCGGCTGGAAGCCGTGATCCCATCAAGGGCGGGACTGGAGCTCAGGCAGCTGCGGTTACTTAGACCGGCGGGCTCCGGGCAGAGGGGACGGAAGCTGGGCGGGACCCCCGCCCCCTACCCCCCCCACCCGCAGTGCGTGTGTTGGCCCAGGGCCTCCCAAGCCCGGGACGCGCTTTCTCTGCGTCCCGCGTCTCACGGGAGCTCGGTTCCGTCCAACGCAGCCATCCTTCGCGGCGGCCGAGCGCTGGGAAGACGCAGGGGACAAGGTCCGCACGGTCGGCTAGCAACTGCTTTCTTACAAAACATGCATGTGAATTTGGTTAGAAAGACAGAAAACATATATCCTGAATTTGGAGGGGCCCTCCTTCTCGAGGGCCCCTTGCCCCACAGCATCAAGCAAAACAGCTGGCGTGGCCCACGGCCTCTCGCGGTGCCCGGGAGCCCCGGGCTCCTTCCGGTCGGCAGACTCCGCTCCCGGAGCCGCGACGCGGCCCCCAGGGCGGCCGCTGCCTCACCGGCGC